ACACCAGCTTGCCACAACCTGGTGCCCTGAATCATGACATCTTTTCTTTACAGGCAGCATCAGCACAGTCTCTGCTACAGAAAACCTCTCTGAAGTTGGACCTCGGGTTGCATGTACTGCTGCTTTGATGGGGCAAGTCAATCTATTTAATGAAGACTCATTCTTTCCTTGGAGAAGCAACACTGTCCTTTCTAGAAGACTGTTCTCAGAGTTAAATAAGGACTCCCAGGTATCCTGGCCTATTCTCAGGAAGACACAGTGAGGCCACACCTGGATATGAGCCCTGGATATGAATCTTGCCATGAGCTGCAATTTCACCCATTGTAAAGGGGATAACAATAGCCCCTTCCTCAAGGAGTGTTGTAGAGATTAAATGAGACGTGCAGATTAAGGGCCGAGCACTGTGCCTGACACACAGTAAGTACTCAACAACACAAATATCATAAATGTTGGAAATAATAAACACATGAGTATGTGAAATACATCTGTGGCCATGATCATGGGGCCAAAAATATGTCAAGGCAACAGGGAGAGATTAGGTTCCTATTGCCAGCTACCTCTGTAAAACTGGGTGGGGCGAAGTGGATTAAATGACCTTGGAGGCCTGTTTTAAGCCTGAGGTTTTATGACAAACTTTACACAAGACTCCTTCAGCACAAGGTGGTGGAAAACTGAACGCTGTTGTGCCTACTTGACATCATCTCAGGGAATCATCCCCGGGATAGCAATCTATTTACCCCAGGCCACTCTGTCCTTAAGAAGAAGAAAGAAAAAGGAGGAGGGGAGAGCTTGGAGCCTCAGAGTCTCAGTGACAAGGTGATTAAATTCTTCTTTCTCCTTCTCCCCACCTGCCTGCTCTGCACCCTCTGCAACCTGCTTCTGAAAAGATTTCTTATTTGTCTTGAATGTCTGACTCAGAATTACGTAAGAGAGTTAATTTACTTTGCGTTAAGTGGGATAGGAGTTTTCTAGAGTGATTTAGGGGAAAAGGATGGAAATATTACTCTTTTTTCCTCCAAAATCTTGCTGGCACATCATCCCACACTGTTAACCGTTCTTGCCTCTACAGTGACTGGGCTGTTAACTAGAGTCATATTTCTCATATTTTTTATTATGAATGGTCCAAAGTTATCCTGGTGGCACCGTGAGCCTTATCTAAATTCAAACAATTTTCATTTCTACTATACTTTCTATCAAACAAAGAAATATGGTCACAACCTACTCCGAATGTCACTTAGGTGTTGGCACAGCTAATGTTTCTCGTCTTTTCAGCGGGACAGAGGGGAGGGAACTTACCGATAGTATTTCTCTTTGACTATGGCATAAATGAGGCACAATGCCAGAGTTCCATCTAGGACAACAGTCAGAATTTCCAAAGATACAATGGTTGGATCAAAATAGAGCCATCTCGCATCGGCTTTGCCATATTCTTTCCCTAGAGACAAAATACATGTTGTTACTCAGCTGACAATCATTTTCA